GATGCTTAGTTTTGTCCAAAATCAACAGCCTTATTTGTACTTCTTTCTTGCAGTTCTCCTCCAATAAAATGAGCAGCAGGCCTACCTGGAAGTTGCCACCATAGAGGGCTTGAACATTGTCGGAGAGACACTCATAAGTGGCCTTCATGCAAGCACGAATGCATTCACGTAATACTTGAAAAGTTCGCGGTGGAGCCGCCAGCTCTTGCACCTATAGCCACACACAATGAAAATATTTTAAACTTTTGCAAGTCCAGCGAACCCACCAACCCAGACCGAATCAACCTGAAAAAAATAAAGAAAAAGGCGCCTTATCAGTTCCTCACTCACCTTGAGGCGGAAGAATGTGATGCTGGTTAAAACGTCAACGGTGGATTTCATGTCTGCAAGCCGTTCTGGTTGTGAAACAGGAAACATGGTCTAAACAAAGGAACTGAAGTCAGCTTGAAAGTGTGATTCGCTGTATATGAACTGCAGGATACTCCTAGTTCAATCCAATTGGAAACTGGAGTGGTCATTGACTATGCGCATGAATCTCCACCCAGAGAAACTGCTTTAACACCAATTATTTAACTGAAGGGGTCTCCTCATTAGTAAAAGAAAATGAAGTGTGCTTCACATTTCGAATCACGGAAACCGAATATCTGGAGGATCTCTATCGCCGTGCGAATGAAAGGATGTAGTCTCGTGCAGGTGATTGGGTTTTCAAACTTACTCGGTATTTCGAGAGATCAATGCGAAGAGCGTTGTGCAGATTGTCGAGGATTTTGATAAACTTCTCCCTCTGAAATAAAAGACAAAAATCAGAGGAGATTTATTACAGAGTTCCTTCCCTCAAAACCGTACAAATACAGACAGAACTGCTAGTAAAGGGCAAAAGTTGTAACAAACAAGTATCCTACAAGGTCACTCAACGCCTGGTAATGTAAGGTTAATTCACCCCAAAATTGCTGGCAGCAAATCGCTCAGAGGCAGGTTGACTGTTATTCGACCTGGTGTGCGCGTAGAAGGCGTTGATGTTGGCCAACAGAGTCGACAGCTGTGCAAGCACACAGACGCAATTGTACTTCGTTGTAAGGCACGCAAAGTGGCTAGAGGGAGAAACTTGGCGGTAATTAAAACGGCATTTGCGAGACAAACCTTTTCAACCTTTGAAGATGGTACAACCAAGTGTTGGTATGACAAATCACAACTTCTGCATAGAGATTTCGTCGAGGAGGTAGCCCACGTCCTCCAGAATGACTCCACTCACTCCCTTTTAACATATTGTCACCTCTTCCTGAATCGTTAGTGTGTTGTCAATTTTATAGAATGGTGTCACATTGATATCAACAAAAGTGCTATCCCCGTCAGTCTTGCAAGGCCTCAAACATTAATACACTCGCCTTCACAATCGGCACTTATAGATATCTTTATGTTTGTACGGAAGGGGAAATGGGTGCAGATATGCAATTGGATCGGTAAAGAGAACGACTTTCCGCACGAAGGATATTCATTTGCGACTCACGTCATAGCCTGGAAGATACTTTCGATGCCATACCGCATGGCAAACTCGTCGCTTTTTTCCTGCCCCAGGGGGTCGAAAAATACTCGCCACAACTCCTCCTGCATCAAATCAAAAGGCCAGTTAATAAGGACCACCAAATCCACAAAGGATGGAGTAGGTAGTGACCTCACCGTTACGGATTTGCGTTTTGGAGCTTGTCTAGGCAGGTAGACTGGAGGGTTTTTGTCACAAAGGTAGTTGAACATGCACTATCACAAAAGATTTAAAACGGTGTTGAGCAATACTCGCTACTTTATATAAGTACAGTACAAAGCAAACAGCAACTGAGATATGGGATCCATAGGACAGGATCTTAGCAACTTTTGTATTTGTCTAGTTTAGAGATTCGTTCTAGTACGTGGTTCTGAGGAACGGAAGAGGATAATAATGCCGAATTATTGTGTTTCCAGGCAATGAAGGCGTACTTCAGTACAAGCCATTTATGTCTCTCCATGCCAACACAAGTCAGTTGAGCAAATGTATTCGGGGACGATAAAATTTAGTACGACAAATTTAGCCACGAAAGGGGGTAGGTTAGTTAAGGTACCGCTCTACTTGCCATGGGCCATTATCCTCACTCAGTGGGATAGAGAGCAGCCACACTGGCACACTGCTGGACCACGCTTTTCTCTGCCTCCTTCTACTGGGAATCGGCTCATTTGCCTCATTCTCCTGAGCCATCCCATGAGGTAACGCATCTGA